CCAGAGAAAGTATGTTTACTTTGAGTCATGTAGGACTCATGTGTTTACTTGTTCAACTTTATACAAGTTTTAGTGTCTACTTGTGTATATCCAAAGTTAGAGGACATAAACGTAAAATGAAGTCAAGTTAAAGAGAAGATTTATGTATTATGCCTAATTTAGATCACAAATTTCAAAAATCTTTCTTTTTAAACTCTGTATCAAATCAAACTAAGTCATATAAATTGAGACAAGAGGAGTATAACATTAGAAATCAAAATTACTTGTTCAAAGAGGAATTGAACACCACAATAAAGCAAAACCTAACTCATTAATGGAAGTTATATTAATTACTTGATTTATGTTTTATTATTATACTTTAAATAATTTTTATTAGTATAATATTACTATATCATTTATTTATTAATTATTATTTTTAAATATCAACACAACTTACAAAAATTCATGCATGTGATATTGTTGGTACCACCACTATTGAATTTACAACTCTGCTTACTTTGTAAGCAACACATACGCAGAAAGTGTCTCCAATCACATAAATATAATATTCCGAGACAGCAAAAGTTTGCAACGTAAAGTTTGGTGCAACAATATACTTCCTCCTCCGTCCACTTTTATTTATCATGTTGCGTTTTTCAAAAATTAATTTGATTAACTTTTAAAATTAAATTATATTACATTAGTTCGATATTTTAAATTATAAAATTTATATATTCAAAAACTATACGAAAAGTACTATAAATTGCAATTTTTCTCATATCAATATGATGAAAAAATACATCGTAAAATGTTAGTCAAAGTTTTTATAGGTTGACTCTAAAAAGGAATCCTATGACAATTAAAAGTGGACGGAGTAGTATTTTTCATTTTAATTGGTGTGACATATTTCTTTAATTAATATTGATACATTCTTTTATTTGATAGTCTCATCCAAAAGTTTGTACTTTTTTTTAATAATAGTGTTAGAAACATTACAAAGTCATTCAATTGCTTTGATTTAAATTATCCGAAAAACATAATGCTTGATATATATGAACAAAATATGATATTTCATAAATTTTGTATTCAATTAAACTATATCTTATAAAATTGACACGACGAAAACATATAAAATTAGTAAAACCTCAATAATGCATCATATTGAACAGTAGCATCGCCAGTTTTGAAATCCCATGAATGAGTACTAGCTTCAACATATCCTCTAGCAAATTGGAAAACCCCATTCCCTCCAATTACCGCCATCTCTCTCACCTTCTTGAACACCGGATTCCGACCAAGTATAGTAAAAGTACTTCCATTATAAAATTGTGGACAATGACACTTTATTCATTGTACACCATCAAGTTAGCAGTATGGGACAAATATACCCCTCAATTTTATGATTTACACCACATAAAGTGGTGTATGTATTATATATATATAATATATTCCCTTTTCGTTTAATAAATGGTGAATATCTTCGTCGTTTAACAAATGATATATTTACTCTTTTTATTGACAAACAGAATTGAATATCTTAAATCTAATTTTAAAATTCTAATAATGTCACGTGGCTTAAAAAATCTTCCCTCATCGTTAACTTTTGCTAAAAAAAGTATAGTCGGATGAACGGAGAAAGTATAGTGGACAAGTAAAAATACATAGACTCCCGATCTGATAACAATTTTATTGTTAGTCCCGCTATTAAAAAAAATTAGCATTGTTAATTTGTTATGCATGTTGAGAGTTTATTTAATTTAATTTTTTTAGTATTATTAAAAAAAAGTATTTATTGTCATGTAAATACTATAAATCTTATAATCATATAAATATTATGGCATATTCTTAAATCAAATTTTGTTTTTTGTTAAATGCTAATCAAATTTTATAATATAATTTTAAATAGAAAAAGTAAGACTTTTGAGTCGCCAATAAGAATTGTTAGTAGAATATAAAGTAATTTTTGTATTCTTTGCAACAGGTTTCGGGTTGGATTCTCCCTCGGTATGGAGCTGTTTTTTAGAAAGGTTTTTTATCTTTAAAGTGAAATTTCTTGATACAAATTTAAATTTAATCAAACTTTAAAGCAGATATCGAATATCGAGTGATAATCGAAATGAAGAAAAAGACTTGTCATCAATGACCTTCATACTTGCTTCATACTCACAATGTTTCAAACTTGTTATTCAAATTCAAGAAAAGCATGCCCACATCAATGAAAGTTTGGTTGGTTTACCAATTCCACGTACAAAAAGGTATGATATATTTAGTCATCCATTCTTTATGGCATCTTAACCTAATCATTTTAGCATGTCCTTGAGTTAAAAGTTAAGCATGTTAAAGAGTCGGTTGAATTTGTTACAATACATTAATTTTATTTATTTATTTTACACACCTCATCAAGACTTTAATGTGAATTTCTTTTACATAAATACAAATTTAATCCGATTTCTAATATAAAACATCGAGCGGAGGATAAAAAAATATTAGTTAATGCGTTTCTACTTACATGTCATTATTTTAAATTTTATGTTCCTTGAAAAATTAGGTAGGTTTATCATTATATCTTTATTTAGTGTTCTATTAAAGTCAAGTTTTCAATAAATGAATATGAATTAATTTATTTTGATTAACTAATTTGACCAATAAACATGAATAAATTATTTAGTTTTCTATGTTGGTTAAATTTATATTTTCAAGATTAATAACTCTCAACGGTAAAATGAAAAATATAATGTCATTTTTTTGTGAAATGACAAATATTCCCTCTGTCCAACAATATTTGTCTACTATTAAATTTACAGACTTCTTAAGAAACTATAAATAGAAAGTAAATTTACTATGTAACCCTTTGAATATAAGAAATATAATATCTTAAAAAATATAATAAAAAATTACTATAATTAATGATAAGTGTAAATTAGGAAAGATAACATACTCCCTCTGTCCAACAATACTTGTCCACTATACTAAAAATAGATGTCCAACAATACTTGTCCATTTTATGAAATCCATGGGTAATTTTACACTTAATTCCTCATTTACCCTTATCATTAATTATAGTCATTTTACTATTATATTTTTCAAAATCTTATATTTATTATATTCAAAGGGTGATATAGTAAGATTACCCTTCTATTTATAATTTTTTAAAAGATGTATCAAGTCAATAGTAGACAACTATTATTGAACAGAGAATAGTAAAACAAAGTAACGTGCACAAAAAGTTGGAAGATATTGTTGACATTTAAGTGTAAACACATAGATTCTAGAAATAAGAATTTTTTTGAATTCCAACCATTTAAATTCCTCCCTTGACTATTTGTTTTCATTTTAGGTTGAATTTTCCTCCTCTCTTTTCGTTAACTTTTACTTAGTTTAGTAAACTAAAAATAAATTTTTATCTTTATTTTATTTTTTTGTATTTTATTTATTCTTATTATTAAGTATGAATTATTTTCAATTCATTTTTCAACCTGTTGAATTTATACTAAATGACTTCTAGCAGTAAAATTATTATTTTAGTTTTTAAAAAATGATATGCCGAATCAAATTACATATACAAATAAATATGAACGGAAATGATTAAAGAATGTTTTTAATTACTACACCGCTCATTCTTAATTCTTAATGACATACAATATATATATATATATATATATATATATATATTAGCCCTCATACTCTTAGGGGGGGTTTGGTGTGAAGATAACACCAAATATTTTTGGGAGTAAATTATAGTGCAACTTAATTTATTGTTTGATTGGTAAGCCATTGATAGCTTATCTCGGGATTAATAATAGTATCGGGATAAGTTATTCCTCTACTTGAGTAATATAGTAATCTCGAGATAAAATAGGTAAATGACAAATATATTTCCTTAACCCTTTTTATCATCACTTTTTACATTCATATAAGGTGTTTTTGTAAACAAATAATTTGTTCTTAAAATTTATGCAAGGCATATTATTTTGAATGCAACAAATCAAACACTCATAAAAAATTAATCTCAACATAATTTATTTCATTATAACTAATTTCAGCAAAATATATCTCGTCTTACTTATTCTATCATAGTATTCAAATCAAACGACTCCTTAAAATTGTGCTCAAGTCTATTATAAAATGGTAATTTCTTCTAGCGCCACCTATTTTGATAGTAATAGAACAAATTATCAAAAATCTTGCAACATAGTCAAAGAAGAAAATAAATAGTTATAGTTGATAGACTCACAAGTCAAGCAGACTTTGGAATGATCATATGACAATGAGATCTGATTTTTATCTTGATCCGCCCATAGTGTAAATGGATTTTTACATAATGATCAATACTTATAATTTAAACCTATTCTAAAAAGTTAGTTTTTTATTAACATATATATATTTACTTAATTGAAAAAAATTATAATATTAGATTTTTAACTTACAAAATGTCAGATGACTTTATAAAATTATTTCACCCCTTTTTTACTCCTAGAAACCCGACACAAATGAAAAAAAACAATTCAATTCCTCTTATACTCAGTCACAAAATGGGGTTGGAGATCGAATCTGAATACATGAAGTATTGAATTTTTTAGTTGGTCTGGTTTGGATGGGTAAAAAAATTAGATGAGGTAATATTTTTTTTAGCCAAATGACATTATTAGAATTTAAAATTTAGATTTAAGATATTAAATTCAGTTTGTCAACGAAAAGAGTAAATATATTATTTGTTAAACGACGAAAATATATATTCATCATTTATTAGACGAAAAGGGCATATATAATATGTACACCACTTTATGTGGTGTAAAACATAAAATTGAGGGGTATATTTTTTATATTATACTAACTTGATGGTGTAAAATAAATAATGGAATGTCTTATTCCTGCTTGAGCTTTTCAATCAATCAATTCCCTATTTCAGGGACATCTATGTTAGGTAGGCCACGAAGGGTCATTGTCCAAAATTTTATAATTTTCCAAGTGGGGGTAGTTAAAATATGGAAAATTTTGGCCTTTTAACTTGTAAAAACAAGTATCCACACACCATATCATTCCATTCTCCACCAAGTGACTCAAAGAATTTACTTCCATTCCATGGCCAAACTAATACTCCAAATCTTCACCATTTCCATCTTCCTTTCTCTGGTGGCCTTTCCGGCCACCGGAGAAGAAGATACTTATATTTTTGGAAAATCTATAAACAAAAAACCCACAAGGTTAAAAAAGGAAAAATTCAGTCATTTTCGATTTTATTGGCATGATATTCTAAGTGGTTCAAAACCAACATCAATGATGATTATTCCACCATCTAAAAACACAACAACAGGTTTTGGGCAAATGAATATGATAGATAATGCCTTAACCTTAGGACCAGAATTAAGTTCCAAGATTGTTGGAAGGGCGCAAGGGTTTTATGGTGCTGCTTCACTTAATGATGTTGGTTTAATGATGGTTATGAATTTTGCTTTTATTGAAGGGAAATATAATGGAAGTACTTTTACTATACTTGGTCGGAATCCGGTGTTCGAGAAGGTGAGAGAGATGGCGGTGATCGGAGGGAGTGGGCTTTTCCGATTTGCTAGAGGATATGTTGAAGCTAGTACTCATTCATGGGATTTCAAAACTGGAGATGCTACTGTTCAGTATGATGCTTATGTCTTGCATTATTGAGGTTTTACTAATTTTATATATTTTCATCGTGTCAATTTATGAGATGTAGTCTACACGAATTTTAAGAATTGTATAAGAATATATTTTGTATTATTGTTCCAAAATTATTCATAAAAAGGGTAGACATTTGTTGACTTTTTACTAATTAAATATGTACTATTTTCGTTCCTTTTTAAGTTTTTATTAATATTTGATCTTATTCTTTTCTTGAAAAAAAAAACCCCGATACTTGTATATATTCAAAGAGAACACAAAGTATGGCTTACTTATTTTATTTAAGTGTATCATATCAACTTAATTTCGATACTTTTAAGTCAAAAGAATTTTAAACACTTTTACAGTGTTTAAAAAAACTAAAAAAAATATTATAATTATTTATTTTTAAGTTAAAATAATAAAAATAAATTAAAAGTGATAACATAAGAATCGTAACTTATAGTTTATGCTTATAAGTAATCATAGGTTATAAAAGTATGTCCAAACAAACTCTATATACATTTTCTAAAATGGCTCCACCATGCTAAAGTATAGACTATACAGTATTGGTATATCCTGGAAAAGACCGAGGATCCATTCGGGTGTCATCATCAATTATTTTATTTTTTATATTACTCCCGTTGTTCCTAGTTAGTTGTCTATTTTTGAATTGATACACTATTAAAAAAAATATTTATTTATATAGTGAGTTTATCATTTTACCCTTATTAATTATGAAGTGCATAAATTTAAAAACTTAAGATTTTCAAAAAGTTGTACATTTTTCAAAGTAATTAATTGAGGTTATAATATGTGAAAAGAAATTATCCTTTCTTGATTTGTTAAAATGAACAAGTAATTAGGGACAATAAAAAAAACAAGTAATTAGAGATAGAGGGAGTAATATATAACTACAAATAATATAAATGACATTTGCTTGGATAAATGAGTTTAGTTGGCCCATTGGTTTGGCTCCTTGCAAGGGTTGTTATCTGCTCAATTTATATAATTCACTTTATTTTAATCAGTTTTAAAAATATTTAGTAACAATTTAATTTAAAATGGTCATTTTATCATTAATAAAATAATATATAGTCACACAAATATCTACGATTTATTTTTAAACTACAGATTTTCAAAAAAATTCTTTCTTTCTTAAATATCGTATCAAGTCAAACCAAGTCATACAAATTAAAACAAATAAAATATAATATTAAAATTAAATTACTTATCCAAAAAAGAATTGAACACAATAATACAGCTAAACCTAACTCGTTGATGAAAGTTATATTGATTTACTTAATTTATGTTTTATTATTATACTTTAAATAATTTTTATTTAACACAAAGCACACGCGGAAGTCTCTCCAAAGACAGCAAACACTTTGAAACGTAAAGTTTGGTCCAAGAAAATATAGTCCACTAATTAAAAAAAAACAGCATCGTTATGTTGAAATATACTTAATTTAAACTTTTTAATTTTATTTTTATTAAGAAGTTTTATTGTCACACAAATAATATTAAACTTAGGGTGTGTTTGGTATGAAGGAAAATGTTTTCCTAGAAAATGTTTTCTTGGAAAACAAGTTGATTTTTGACTTATTTTCTCATGTTTGGTTGGTGAGTAGAAAATATTTTCCGAAAAAGATTTTTAGTGTTTGATTTATGAATGAAAAATGTTTTTGAAAAATTTCTTTTATTTTTATTAGAGTAAAAAATAATTGTTGAAATTGAAAATATTTTTTAAAAACAAACTTAAATTTATTTATTTTTTTGGGGGGGGGG